GGAGAGCAGCAAGAGGGAAGGACCCCAGCCCTACAGTGACGCTGGCCGTCTGCTGGCAGGATGGGCCCGGCCGCAGGCAATGAGTCGGGGACCCTGGATTTCGTGCTGCTCGGGCTGTGGGCCCCGCCGGCCCTGCGGCCCTTGCTGTGGACGGCGCTGCTGCTGGCCTATCTGGCCACCGTGCTGGGCAACGGCGCGCTGGTGGGGCTGATCGCGCTGGACCGGCGGCTGCATAGGCCCATGTACCTCCTGTTGTGTCACCTGGCGCTGCTGGACGCGGCCTATGTGAGCACCACGCTGCCCCAGGCGCTGGCGCACATGGCCTCGCGCCGCGCCCGCCTCTCGCTGGCACGCTGCGGGGCGCAGCTCTACGTGGGCATCTCCCTGGGCAGCTGCGAGGCGCTGCTCCTGGCCGCCATGGCCCTGGACCGCAGCTTGGCGGTGTGTAGGCCCCTGCACTACACCATGCTGGTGACCCCTCTGCGCTGCGCGGCGCTGGCTGGCGCCGCCTGGACGCTGGGCTTCGCGCTGTCGGTGCCCAACGCGGCGGCCGCGCTGCGCCTGCCCTTTTGCGCTGGGAGGCCGGCCGTGGACCACTTCTTCTGCGAGCTGCCCGCGGTGCTGCGGACGGCGTGTGCAGACACCACCGCCAACCACAGGCTCATCTATGGCCTGGGCGTGCCCATCCTCCTGGTGCCCCTGACCTTCATCCTCGCCTCCTACGCCTCGATTCTGGCCGCAGTGGGCAAGTTGCCTTCCGCCAGGAGCCGCCTCAAGGCCCTGTCCACCTGCAGCTCACACCTGGCGGTAGTGGGGCTCTTCTACGGCACGGTAAGTGCCATGTACCTGCGCCCGCGCGCCTCCAGTGCCCTCCCTGCCAGGCAGCACAAGCTGGTGGCCGTTTTCTACCTCGTGGTCACGCCCGTCCTGAACCCGCTCATCTACAGCCTTCGGAACCGCGAGGTCCACGCAGCAGCCCGCTCTGCCCTGGCCCGGCTGCGGGGCGTCCGCGCTGCGCGGCGCTGACAGCCAGGCTGGTGACCGGCCTCCCAGCCTCTGCCCACTCCTCGGAATTGGACCGGGCCTGGGTGTCTTCGCTTCTGTCAGCTTTGGCTGCTGCGACTTCGACCCCTTAGCTGGAGAGCAGCCGAGACGACAGGAGCGGGCAGCTGGGTTCCAGAACCAGAAACTTCCGTTGGTGGATACCAGAATCCGAATTTTATCTCATATTCGTGGGTCACAAAATATTATTCTTCTGTGGATTTTTTTCAACCCTTTGAAAATACAAAAGTCAGTTTTAGATAGCAGAGCTGGGCGCGTAAACCCTGATGGGCGGCCAAGACGGATTATTGTCAGGATTAAATAAATAAGGTGTCTCTGCTGTCCTGTTTTTTTTTTTTTAACCTCAATCCAGTGTCAGCTGGTCACTTTCTTGGCCACTTGGATGTAACAGGCAGCACCCTTCCTTGCCAGGGCCTTCTATAAGGGCCACATGCACTGCAGCTGGGACACAGGCTGACCTCAGGCGGCATTGCACCTCCAGTTCCCACAGGACAGAAGGAAGGCACCTGAAATCAGGTGACACATGCAGCTGGAAGTGAGGAGCCAGGGTCCAGACTCCAGGCTAGTGATCTTACCCTCATGTCGCCCCCTCTCCGTCCCCCTTTTTACAGATCCCTGGAGGCAGAGAGTCGGGCATTAACAAGGCCTGGGCATTGATGTCAGTGTGACCTGCATACAGACGGGTCACATCTGTGGGACGTATTGGTGGCTACATGGGAAACATCACCTAAGTCCCCAGCAGCTGTGTCTGCTCTGCCTCTTGTTAGTGCAGCCTGTGGCTCACGCACGTGTCACACTCATGTGTCCACAGCTAGGGCAACTGTGAAACAGGCTTTGGGTGCCAGGTGGGCACCTGGTGCTCGGGACCTCGCTTCTGGCTCACACCATCAGCCTGCACACAGAGCACTCCCAGGAGGACAGGCAGGGCTGCAGGCTGGGAGGTGGGTCAGCCGGGGCCCAGGTGTAAGGGACGCAGTGTCAGCCAGCACGTACTGATGGTGTGAGAAGAACCAGGGAGGATGCTGGCCACTCACCAGCAAGGTGCACTTTACTCTCCCCCTGCCACACCCGCGGTTCTGAGGTAGGGAATATGTTTATGCTCAATTTAGAAAAGACAAAAAGCCATGGCCAATCCGGGGAGGTCTCACTGCTGAACCTTGGCGCCCACCCACTGTAGCTGATGGTTATTATTTTTATTTTCTGCAACACAACTGCTTGAAGGGTCGTTTCTGCCACTTGTCACTGAAGCACAGCGGTCCTACAGGTAGGAGCACCAATGGCAGGCGCAGAGCTCCAAGGTGGGCGGGAGGTGAGCGCAGCCTGTGGGACCGCCCCCAGCGCCCCAGCGCACTCCCAGCTCCCAGCCCTTCCAAAGCCAGGCACCCCCTTCGCTAGCCCGGGGAGCAGATGGGACAGTCCGAGCGTCCTGAGGAAAGCAGCCACACTGAAGTCAACAGTCAGCGTCAGGAGGGGGCCGGGCTGCAGGGTGGGCGGGTCTCTGGCAGGCCACAGGTGAGGGCTGGTCCTCAGGATGGCAAAGCTGTTCCCCAAAGTGAAAAGGCAGGAAGTCCAGCAAGGGCCCAGCGAGACACTCCATCAGACCTCTGCCAGACACGAATGGTCAGCGCTGCGCTCCGGTGGGAGCTGGCCCGGCAGTGACCAGCACACGAGGTTGCGGTCCTCTCTCCACGTGCCCGCCGCGGGGAGGGTGCACTCCGTGCCTGGAGAGGGCGTAAGTGAATATGGTCTGGCTCCTCAGGATACACCACACAGCACCAAGGAGCCAACAGCCCTCTCCCAGGCACACCCAAGAGACAGGGAAGCGCAGCGCACACAGAGCCGCGGGAGTGTCCACACCACACTGCCCTCACAGCCAGAGAGGGAGCAGCTCCAACGTCAAAGCCAGCACTCAACTCAAAGTCACGTGAATCGTGTCTCAAGTAGGCTGTTAACCCAAGCAACAGCACCTGGTGTCCATGTCACCCACACCAGCCACTGTCCCCAGCACTGGTGAGGGACTAACTCACGGAATCCATTCAGTGACCCTGTGAAGTCTGTCCTGTTGGAATCCTGTTTTACAGGAGGGTAAATGGAGGCACAGAGAGATGAAGTCACTTGGCTAGGGTCACACAGCAGAAAAGAGTGAAACCAGGTCCAGAAGCACATGGACTTGCTCCAAAGGTGGCCCTCCCACCCACTGTGCTCCACCACCACAGGTGGCCCTGCCCTGGCAGCAGGGCTGCTTTGGTCTCACCCAGTGGGAGGGCTACAGCGACCTTCCCTTTATTCAGTCACCAGCTGAAGTGGAGTGGACTTCCTGTCCATATACCCAGGTTGTGCACTGCTCCCCATGTGCCTGAGCCCCACCTCAGTGTCCCAGGCATGGCCAGGGGTTGCTGGGGTGTAGGGGCCTGTGGAAAGACGGGGGAGGCCTGAGGGTGGGGGTGGGCAGGGCTGATCAGGGGCCTCCAGCACCAGGGGGGGCGTGGGGATCTCTCCCGGGGAGATGGGTGCAGACACCCAGCAGGAGGCCAGGTGGGACTGGGAGGGGAGACCCTGGGAAAAGGAATGTGGGGAGGACCACAGCCTCAGGGCTGCAGAGGCTCCACACTCTGCCTTCACTGGGGCACAGAGGTGCCGGGTTGGTAATGAGCAGAATCCTCTGAGGGGCAGATCCCCAGGGCTCTCATCTGTGTCCAGAGCCAAAGACTGAAATCTCTGGTTCCTGGGGTCCCGGGAGTTCCTGGATCAGCAGGGAGGCTGGGGCTCTGTCCCCGGCACCAGACAGACGGAGCAGCAGAGGTAAGCGGCTCTCGATGAAGGGGCAGGGAGACAGGCTGTGGGGGAACAGAGCCTGGGGCTCCCTCTGAGTGTGGTGCTGGGACAGCTGTCCCTGGACACGCTGGTGCCTTGTAGCAGGGTGTTACACTGGGGTCACTCTTTGACTCTGCCCAGTTTTATAGACAACAGTGGAATCAACCTTCGTAGTTTTTAATTTTGCTGCTAAAAAGGCAAATGCATTTTCTTAACCCAACTTAAAAGGGACAAGTGTAAAGTGCTGCTTGACTATTACCACCAGTGACAGTCCTCCCCTTTGTCCCCTCCCTCCTTGGTTTGGGGAATACTCTTCCATACATTTTCTGGGCATTTTTATAAATATATTTGGAGCTGTAGAAAAACAGCCATGTAGTTTTGGGTGGGGTTTTATGTAAGTGAATGAGACCTTCCTCTTATTCACCACTTGCTTTCTGGGGGCATAATACTTTCTGAATAGCTTCCATTTAATTGTACCTAGAATGCATTCCTTTTACCCTGCAGTATGGTATTCTAGATGGTGCAACCATATTCACTGCGAGCCCTGAATAGCTCCCTCTGCACTTAGACAGCAGTGGGGCCAGTGTGAACTCCCAGCCCTGATTCTAGAGGGGAGCGCAGCGGGATGCGGTCTCTGTACAGCGCGGAGGCTGTTGCGTGGGGGCACAGTACCAGGGGCAGCAGAGGGATCACTGCTCGTCACACTTCAGGCAGGAGGACGGCTCTGGGTGGACACTGCCCGCCCCGGCATTGCAGAGCTGCCTCGGAGCCGAGTTTCCTGCCATCCTGGGCCCTGGCCGAGAGCCCTGCTGCCCCAGTTATCACGCTTCCCGTTGACCATTGGCTGTCCGTGGCTGTCCCTCTGGTTGGTGTTTTGTGTTTCAAGCTTCAGGTGTCCCTGGCCTTGGGCAGCCAGCCTCTGATGGAGGCCAAAGTCACTTTGGTTCCACCGACATTCGGGTAGAGCCAACATGATGCTGGTGGACCTGGTGCTCTGTAGGACGCTACCAGCATCTCCGTCCTTCACCTGCCAGGGACCAGTGGCACCCCTGTTGTGACAGCCAACAAATGTCACCACACATGACAAAGGTCCCCCAAGGGGCTAACTCACCCCCAGCTGAGGTCCACTTACAGGATCAAACCCAGCACTTACAGAACGAGGTAGGACAGGTAGAGCTGGAAAGAGCAGGGTCTGGTGTATGTGGAGGGGGGTGTGCTGACTCCTGGCATCACAGGCTTCCAGTCCAGGGACCTCGCAGTGGACCACGTCCCGCAAGGCAGGGAGCAGGTTCTGCCTCACAGAGCTTCCTCGTGGGTGGGCTGCGGCGCTGGCTCGTGCTGGACAGCAGGAAGGGCCTGCAACCAGCCCTCAAGCAGGAGCAGCAAGTAAGGAAGGTGACCAGAGCAGAGCCAGGCTCAGTTCTGATATGAGATGGACAAGAGGGACCCACAGCCAGGGCACTGAGAGGAGACCTCGGGCAGCAGGGGCATTTGGCTAAACTGACTGGGATTCTTGCTGAAGGAAGGTCAGGGAGACCAGATACCTAGGACGGAAGAGGAGCTTGATCCGATGCTTGGGGCAGTGGACGGAGGCCAAAGCCAGGTCAAAGCCTGGGGTGGAGGGGAGCCTAACTGGTCAGCGCTGGGTGTCCTGTCCCAGATGGGCAAGCGAGAACAGTGCCCAGCCCCAGGGCTGCACCTAGTGTGCTCCTCTCTGCCTTCCACGGACATCTCGAGGCTCTCTGTGTGAGAGGGTGTCTCCTTTGGAAGACACACTGTTCTACTGAGCTGTTTGTGCCAGGCACTCTTCTGCCAGACCAGGCACAGCAGCCCTCTGGCCCTTGTGCTCTACGAGGGGCAGGCAGACTGGCCAGTAGCAAGTGAACAAAGCACCTTCAGGGTTTTTAAAAACACCCAGATGGTTCCCTGGGAGTGGCCTGTGTGCTGGGGAGTTGCTTCAGTAGGGTCACTGGGAAAGGACTCCGAGGAGGAGGACATCTCAGTGGACACGGGCAGGAAGAGAAGGAAACAGGGACAACGATGCAAACACATGGGGAGAGCATCTCAGGGCACGGGAAGCAGGTACAAAGGCCGGGGTGAGAAGGAAAAGGTGACCGGGAAGAGGCCTTCACAGCGGCGCTTGGCCAGCACAGTGTGGGAGAGACGTGTGCAGAGGTGGCCCAGAGCCAGTACACAGAGGGGCCTGTAAAAGGGGGACCAGGATACAAGCCCCCAGGGAAAGAGCCTGTGTGGGGCGAGAAAGGCAGAGGCCCTGAGGTGGGGGCCTGAGCTCCCGGACCAGAGTCCAGAAAAGCAGGCAGGGCCAGGCCAGCTCGCAGGACCTCTGACTTCCTCCCTGGCTCCTGCGCACCACGGGTCTGATTTGCCCTGGGCCGAGACCCC